AAGGAGTAGTGTTGGTGCGCGACGTCTTCTAATGAGGGTTTCAACAGCAGCTTCGCCCTTAAAAGAAACATTAACGAACAGGTCCTTCTTTTCCACCCTATGAGTGTGTACTTTTGATACCTGTTCCATCATATTTCGCATTTGATTCACGGTTACTTGTGACTAGTGGTGTGGGATAATTGATTTTTATAGATTTGAGCTAATTATCCTTCGGACTTCATCTTCATACATACTCCTCAGTTCATTGATTCAACCGTACACTCATATTTCGTTGAATGAAACGGTGTAGGTAGCCATTGATTCTGAGCAAGTTGCAAATAAACTTGAGTTAGTCTTCCACTGCTTCTTGTGAACAGATTCTTCGAGCTTTGGATATCAAACATTTTATCAGGTTCCTTTTTGGCTTAATCGGGATATAAGTGTAAAAATTCATGTATTGGGCACTCCATGTTTTCTTACGGTACACATGGTATTGTATAGATCCATTATGTCTTCTTCTTCAAGAAATTTTCTACTAGTTAATCCAGTTCGTTGTTTGGATTAGCTGTGCATAATTGTAGTTCATTGTTCATTGTTATAGTTCATTCACATCGTGCAGGGAATCCCCTCTAACCGGCAAACCTGTGTTTGGATGCACTTGGCTTCGTTGTCTTATGATCTGAATGTTGTCGGAGAAGAAATTCCAAAAGTGACAATTACTGTACGGCTGTTTTGACTCTGTTGGATCTCATCAAGTAGGTGGTATGCTGGTGTTATATCTGGGAGGTTCTTACATCAGTGCTGACAGAATTCATCGGTGTAGAACTAACTATTTCAGGCTTTGCAGCATTTTGTTCATATTTTCCTTCACTCCGTTTACGACTGAAGTCCTCTTTTAATCGTGTAAATCCTGTCATAATCACTTCCTTACTTATTCATTTGATTTCACATGTATATTGAAATATCAACTTCAAAAGTGTTGTCGTCTTCTGCATTATGAGTTTTCATTTCATTTTCTCCTATTGTTCAAAAAAGGAGCTCGCCGCGGAACAGGCTGACGAAGATGATGAGGACGAGAAAGACTCACCAGATTCGTCAACTGCAGTCGAAAAAGACACTGTGTTGGACACTATTACCACAAGCGTAGCGGACAATGGTCTGGATGTAGTTGATCCAGTGTCCCATTCAGAAAGCACGACAGAAGAACCGGGTATCAACATATCCGAATCCCAGAATGTCGAAGAAGTTGAGAAAACTATCGGTGAAGATGATAAATCAGAACTTGAGTTCGACGATTCGCACAAGAAGCCCAAAGAACCATCCGATGATGAGTCCGTTGATCGGGGAGAGATCGATAATATAGATCAATTTAAATCGGATAAGGTGGACGATCTGGGACAAGATAATACTGACCTGATCGTGGACGATACTATGGTAGCAGACAGTTTGGATTTCGAAGACGGTCGAGTTGACTTGTCAGATATAGTGCCAGAGGATACGGAAACTCGGGCGGAAGACGACGACGATCCAGGTAAGGGAGATATGAGTAT